CGTATAATTTAGTTCAGCGTCGATCATTTATCATCCTTAGAAGAAAATATTCTGATCTTTACGTTTAACTATAAAATTGCTTTGGCTTACATTGTGCGCATAAAAGGAGCGTTAAATTAAACATGAGTTGATTCCACGCGAGGGTTTTACCTGGAAAAATGCCTGCACACGAGAGACACCGACATTACCGCGTGTCCCTTTCTGGAAAACATTCGTGTTATGACAAGAAAGGTCAGCTTAAGGGTTTTGGGTTACCCAAACTATGCAATTTTGACGCCGAAAAGTGCCAAAAAGTAATTACAGAAACTTCATCCGCAACACCTTGAACGTGCTGTGGGCGCGAACTGAGATCTTCTCTTACAGTTAATTATTGCCAGGCGGAACTCAGATCCGGCTTAGCCTAATTTGCATAAATTTTTTTGGTGGGCAAAGCTCGTCATGTAGTTTTGGCAGCTGATGGTGAGAACGTTGTTTCGATAAAGACGAAGCTTGGGGACATCTTTGTGGCAACAAGTGTCCAACCTCCACTCTCGGTCTCCATGTCGCAAAAAGCCTGGAACGAGTCCTCTGTCGAGCCTCCGTTTGGGTCGATCCAGTAAAGTCCGCTACCACGACTGCCACCTGAAAGGGACCGTTAAGATCATTTGAGATCGTCTCAGCTCATTCAGATTTCAAACCTCCGCAAAACATAATCTCACCTGATCTTAGGATATCCCTACAATGACGGCCAGGTGTGCTGGCCATGTGACCTTTCCCTCCAGTCATCAGTGGCAACCAATTGCTTCCATCGCACAGGAGCAAGGCATTTTGGGGGACTTTGTAGCGAACAGTGCCAGCAGTACGCCTGGTACATTTCGCAGCGGTGTCACCGAATTTAATGACTCCTTGAGGTGATTTACTTTCCGGACCCGGTTCGCCTTTTTGACCCTGAAAAAGAAAAGTTAAAAAGGGTAAGATTTATATAGAGGCAATCCGGCTTTGTATATTGTGCGGGCTTGCCGAACGAACATTAAACTAGTAAAAAGTGCAAACAGCAAAAATTTTCGTTGTATTTTTGATGGTCTCTAGGTTTCTCTTGCGTGGTTCAAATTAAACTATAGAGCCAGATGGACTACTAAATTTCACCCGTTACTAAATATATAGTGCTTCCGAATTTTCTTTGTCTTCCAACTTTTCTAGAACTAGAGAAATACTGCCTTGTGTAATATAAGACAACACTCTTACACGATAAAAGGCTAAGCTTAACTAACCTTTTTCCCCTCAATTCCGTCTTTTCCTTGAATGCCCACTTCGCCTTTGACCCCCTTTTTATGAAAATAATAATAAGAATGATAACAAAATGAAAATTAAAGTGCTCGCTGCAGGTTATAAATTACAAAGATAGTACTTCTGATAGTTGGGGTACACTGTGGTTATTTCGCTGACATCATTCTTTATAATAAGACATTCATTAGTATAGACCACACAGGTGAATGGTGCTTTTAGTACGCGCTAATTGGCTAGTTCGGAAGTGAATAGCAAGTACTATTCACCATGCACCGAGCAGTCGAAGAGACAAAATCACACGTCGAGCGTTAAATTTCTGACCGGAATTTTGTTACTTCAATAGAGATTTACTGAGTTTTTTTTACTAAAACAATTATTCACCTCACGATCAGTGCTGGTAAGAGTGACGCATATTATCTCCACTTCAACGAATAATTGTTAATTATTATTTACTACTGAATAGTTTTCTTTGATCTGCCACTTCAGAGAAGAAATTGGTTTTTCTTTATCTTTTCCGAGTTAATCTGTAGCGGTTTTACAAGGATTAAATTTCCCGTTTGCTTCACAAACCTTTTCTCCCATTTTTCCATCGCGTCCGTCGCGGCCATCCATTCCTTCAATCAAAGATTATAAGAAACGGTGAAATATGAATAGTACATCTTGTGCGGTTGAGAACGTGAAAGTCTTTATGTCAGACGAGGTAAGTAAAAAATATCATTGTAATTGTAACTTTACGATTTGGAATCAGTTCACATTCTAGCGGAGACTGCCACCGCTGAACATTTTTAATTCTTTCTCAGATCCGATCTAAATCAACACGTAGACTTTTCGGTGCGATTTTGCCAGTTTATCACTCTGAAACGTTCAGAAAAGATAATGAAAAACAACTTCTTTTGGTAATGGCTTGATAGGCCTGAAATAAATCTGCTTCATAAATCTAGCTGGGAGAACAACTAACAGTAAGTTATCTAAAATCATAAGTCAGTTTCAGGACTATTCTTAAAGTTTTGTTTTCAATACATACCATTTTTCCCATCTCGACCGTCTCTACCTGAGAAAAAAGGAGAATGAGGCTTGTTATCAATAAAAAAAGTAGAAAGATAGATAGATGGAGTGAATAAATAAAGCTCGATTAAAAGGTGAAACGTTACGAACAATACTCTCAATTACCATCGCGACAGTTACAGCATTCCTTTGAAACAGCCTTTCCATACTGCCTTCGTTGTGTAACATTTGCAGAGTTCTTGGAAAAAAAAAATATCGTAAGTAAAACTTCCAATTTCACACACCAGGAGTAAGGAATAATTCGAAAATATGGGTGACAAAGAGTGGCAGTCACGTAAGTCTTAAATCTAACCAGAAATAAAACTATTAAAATTTCAGTCACAAAAATGCGAAATGTGTGACCCAAGTTTTGATCGTGACTCAGTAAAAGCAGATTTACCTGTTTGCTTGATTTGCTTTGCGAGGTTGCCTGAAAACCCAAGGCAAAAACAAAACTCAGTGAAAAAAGTAATTGGAACATTTTGGCTTCCTTTTCGTCATTCCTTGAACGCTTGACCAGATTTAAAAGAGTTTCAGAACATATGAAAGTTGTTAATACAATTTTTTTTTTCACCTCAACCAAACGAGAAAAAACGGCAAGACAGAAAACTAGACTATTTGTTATGGTAATGATCATTTCAAGTCACGAACATATTCTATAAGGAAGTTTCTTTATCTCACTGACAGAGACGTTGTCCATTTCTGAGTGACATTTAACCCTGCAATAAATTTTCAAGAGTGTAGTACAGTTCCAAAATGAAATTCACTTAAGAATAACGGCTCAGTAGACACAAACTCATACACTGATGCCTTTTCATGATGGCGCACTGCTTTCAAATAACGTTTACGGTTATGATTCTGTTTTAGCATATTTTTAGTAATAATATCTGCGCCGGAGGGTGGATAAAGAATTTATTCAATACCTATTTTTCGTTGTTATCTTCATCAAGTGTGCTCGCTTAAACCGTGTTATCGCTGATTTCTATGTTGACATGATGGCGTTATTATACCTGATTACCACTGAAGAGGCATGGGTCCGCTTCAATAAAACACCCTTACTCTACAGACGGTTTTCCCAACTCTTACAACGTAAATGATTAAGAAGTAAATTCCTACTGAGAAGGAAAACGACTTTCACAAAATAATGTATTAATAATTGAGACGGAAAAAAATAATTACAAAGATACGAAGAGACCAAACTCACTGGCAAATGCTGAGGGAAATACAGGGTGGACGAAACTTTTGGGATTTACACAGAACGAAAAATAAAATACACAGACGGGGCGTGAAACTGGACTTGAGAGGAGTAGATATAACCTCAAGCGAAATATATACTTAGGTATGTAAGAATACCTTTTCTGTGGGAGGGTGGGAGGGGGAAAGGAACGTACGCATGTTGCTGGGCCTGTAAGAGAGAAAGCTTAACCTGTGTCAATACATCTTTTTGTCGAAAAACCAGTTACAAGGAAAAAAAACAAAGAACTTGATCTGCTTTCTTTTTTAATTTTTTTTTTTAAGTTAAATAACTATATTTAATTCCTTTGTACAATGAACTAAAATTTCCATAATTTTTTCTAAATGTTAGTATGGCTTTCTACTCCAGTCCACTTTCTGTTATATCATTGGAATCTTCTCTATGCTGGGTATCACATCAACTTTGTAAAGTACAGGCGATGAGTCGAAATGCCAGATACTAGAATTCTTGCTCATGCGCCGTAGACGCCGGCAGTAGAGCAAGATAGCGGCTAAGACTGTTATGCTACACACGAGGAGAATGAAACGAAACTGAAGGTCACTGGCGTAACTCCAGA